ATATTTAAATTTAAAAATATTTATATATAAGGGACTCAAATATCATATCGCCTTGGAGGCATAAAATGTGAAAACCAAACCGGTCCTAATAGGGGAAGATCATCTTACTCTAGAGTAACTCTTAATAGTTACTCCACTTTTTCAACGATCCAACCGTTAAATTAAAAATTCTTATTAAATAGATCAAGTCTACAAATTTTTATAAAGTATAAAAATTATTTAATCAAATCAAATAGACATTTACTAAAAACAGTGTGTAAACATGATCTATTTTTTATACATCCATCTTATCACAATATTGAGGAATCAACTATTGAGCTAAATTTGACATCCCAGAAGGCATGATTAAAAAGGACAATTTGTTTCATCATTTTTCCCCCGAAGACTATTTTTTTCCTCAATTTAAAAGTGCATTTAAAGAGCCAATTTGACGCCGACCGAGTTTCTGTTTCTCACAAGTGTATTAGTCTAAAACTTCGTAAAAGACCAACAACATTGGGTAAATACACATACCATTTCAAGAACAATGAAATGGAAACTCTACACATACGTTTATGAATCTAAACCTCGTCAAATTTCATATTTATAGCTCCAACCATGAATTACGGGCATCCAAATCCCAATTTAAATGAATTCACAGGGTGTTACCAAAAAACAGTATTCACACGGGCTTGATGCCACAATAGGCACCACCACAACACCGCACACAATATTAGCTTATACCATAAGGTTACAATTCTGAAAATCCTGTACTAATTAGTGGTTCCAAGGTGGTGTTTTGACAACTCAGGCAACATTCAAGTTACGATGAAGCTGTATAGAAGTTTAAATAACTCCTACAACTCAAATTTTCTGTCAATTTCAATAAATCAAAGTTTCAACCATTTCACTGTTGAGTGGTGACCCTCACCCAATACCTGCTCTTGATAAATTGCACTTAGTCCGAGGGGAATTCAAAAAAACATCAATTTGGCATCTTCTGTCTTATTTTGATTTGTGAAATATTCATGAATAGAGATAACATAACATAGGCAATTGTTTCTTTGATCAATTTCAATATAACAAAATACACAAGGAACTTGACTTCTGTTTTAACCAAAATAATAATAATAATAATAATACAAGTGGTAACCTTCACCCAATATCAAATAGTGAACTACCACCTGCTCTTGATAACACTTAGTCCGAGGCTAATTAATAAAAACATAAAATTGGCATCTTCAGTCTTACTTTGGATTGTGAAATATTCATAAACAGCGATAACAGAACACAAGCATCTGTTTCTTTGACCAGTTTCAATATAACAAAATACACAAGGAACTTGACTTAAGTTATAACCAAAAAAAAAAAAAAACATTAATTTAATAATTACTTAACAAATATTCATGTGCTATACTAACCAAATGAACCTAAACAACTACACAGTACACAGACAATTCTAATTTACAGCTATAGTCAGCACATTTAAAACAAAACAGAAACACATAACATCAAATAAATACAAGACGGGACATGTTTCTATTTCTTTAAGAAGTTATTTCAGTGCATCATCAAAACACTAATGACTTAAATTTGTAATATGCTAAAATAAAATTTACCCTTATCACCTAACTATACTTAAGAAGCCTTTTAGACAGAAAGTGACTGCAACATTGCAATGATGTATAAGGCAAATCCCCTCCACTTAAACTTCCAAAACTAAAGCAGGAAAGCATCCACAAAGCCCCTCATTAAATTGATTTGCGCCCTACACACCTTAAAATGAGTGTGCCACATAGAATACCATATCAATGTTGAAGGAGTCCAAGGAGTTAACCAACCAGTCCCCAAAAGCTGTAAGGAAATTATATTCCAACAGAATGAAAAGACACATAAATAAATTTCCACAGAAACAAAGAAAACTAATATTTCAGCAACTACATATATGTTCAACAGAATCAATAGGAACATAGAATCTACATGCCAAGCTGAAATCTTTTTGTCAAGAGAAGAGCAGCCTAACACACCAAACAATTCCCTATTATAATTGCTGCAAGTCAAGATGGTGGCTAAATATTGCAGATACAAAACAGAACCGCATAAAATTAACCATCAAACTAAAACATATCCACTTCAATAAAGAGAAATTCCACATTGGGTGGTACAAATGCTTCCATCTCAAAAACCTAACACCCAAAAGTCTCCAATCATTTGACCAACAAAAGTTCAGTTACCAAACCATTCAGTCTCCCTTCTTCCTAAATGAGCAACCTTCAGTTAACCTCGCCCGTCCACCGGTCGGTTGGCACAGCACGGTCTGGCAGTTACCACATACCACAACTGTCTGAGAGTGGCTAAACACAGTGGTTCTGCATCCAAAGTAAAGCGAGCACAAACAAATTCACATCAATTTATTTAAATATAAATTTATGCTGAGCCAAAACTCTAAACCCTAAACTTATTAGGGTTTAGGGTTAAATAAATTCACATCAATGTATTTAAATAAAAGCATAATCAAATTAAGAAGAAGAGTAAAAAAAGAAAGATCCTACTTACATGTTAAAGCAACCCTGGCACTTAACATCCTACAAGAAATAATCAATCAAAAGTTTAGAAAGAGACCTACTTTGAAAGAATTAAAAAAAGTTAATAGCAAAAGTTGTGTCCTAATCAATTATATTTCAAAAAAGAATACGAATAAAAGTATCATATACCATGAAGAAAGAATTTGGAGATTGAACAAGACGCTTGAGCTTGTGTTTTCTCTTCTCTAGCTCAGCTGGGGGATTCAGCAAATCAATATCGTTTTGAAGAACCTGCATATGAAAAATAAATAAATAAAAATAAAAAACATATTGTTACTTTCAGAAAAACCATAGCCGCATCTTCTAAATTATACTAACATTGAACTGTCGTTGTATAAAAGAAAAAAAAAATTAAAAAAATAAATAAATAAAAAGAATAAATTGTTTGAACTATGTCCTCAGAAACATATTTTTCAAAAGAAAATAAAAATATCATCCTTGTCTCTTTTGCTTTGAAAGTCCTTTAAAGGAGGAAAAAGTTACAGACAGGAGTAAGAGAATGAAAATACAACAACAAATAATAGAGCAACGATTTCACAACTAATGCCAGAGAACTAACACACTCACCATTGTGAGAGTAAAAAGAAAACACTCTGAAAACCTCAAAAAACAAAAAGCAAAAAAATAAAAATAAAAAATAGAAAACGCTGAACTCGAGGTTTTGCAACAACGAAAAGAACAGACTGATCGAAGAATTTGTAGGTTTAAAAGACTCTGATCTGGGCCAGGGCCGGCCCAAGTGACCCAATGACTGGTTTTAAGTTGATGATATATACACCTCCTTTTTTTTATAAGTACACTTTTTTTTTTAAAAAAATATAATTAAATTTTTTGTTTTTAATTTTTTAATTTTATATTCATAACATTTTATTTAGTATTTTTTTTTAAACATCTTTCCTCCTTTTTTTAATATTTACATGTATCTCTTATCTTTCCTTTACTTCACTTATTTTGATAGCATGTGAAAATTTAAATAAAAAAAAAGTGTGTGAAAAAGAAAAAAAAAGATAATAAATTAAAAGTTGAAGGTGTAAAATTAAAAAATTAATATATATATATATATATATATATAATATTTTATAATTTTTTAAAAACAAATAAAGGAGATGTACTTATAAAAAAAGGATGTGTATATATCATGAGCCCTAGCTTTATCTTTTTAACCAAAACCATATAAGTAAAAGGATTTAAAATTAAAATATAAAAAAAAAAGGTTCTTAACCACCCTAAATTTTACATCTTTTACACATAGACACTATAGACTTTAATTTGATTTCATTTGATCTTTAAATTTTATACTATTAATAAATAGGCACCATAAATATATTTGCTAATGATCACCAACTTTGCTTTTAAGATTTTAGTTTTAAATTATTTAAGAATGAATTTTTAATATGATTATAGTAATAATTAAATTTTATTAATTTATTATTATAAGAAAAGAGTATTCACTCACCTAAACATTACTTCTTTTACAAATTGTCATCCTAAACTTTATCTAATTTATAAATAGGTACCATAAATTTTAATTATTTTTAATTAATACTTAAACTTTACTTATTTTTCAAATAAATATCATCAAATATAATTTCATTCCAATTGATATTTAAATTTTATCATTTTTTCTATAAAAAAAATAAATTCATTATCAATTTAGAATTAAATTATTTATCTTAAATATCAATAATTCATTTTGGTACAGTTATTTTTGAAATGTTATAAAAATATGTTTACAAAGAAAGAAAAAGAAGATATCGATAAACATAATTAAGAAAAACTTTATTTGTTTAAATTCTAAATTTACGATATTTTTTTATATATAAAAAAGTGGCATATGAAAATAAACCTAATATATGCACCTAAAGAAACTGATAAATAATTATGATTTAAAATAAAGAAATGGTTGATATTTATTTTTTCTTAATTTAATTCCAATATGATATAAAAGATTATTTAAAAGAAATAAATTTTGAAGATTAATTGAGAAGAAATTGTAATTGATGTATTTATTTGCATATATTAGTAAAGTTTAAGGAACAATTACAATAAAATCAAAGTTTGTGATGTTTATTATATATGAGGATAAAGGTTTAGTGATAGCTAAATGTTCTTTTTCTTATTATTATTAACCTTGTGTATAAGTTAAGTGCGGGTCATATGTACATGTATGCATATTTAGATACCTAGTATGGGCACAGGGATCGAAATTGCTACCCATATGAGTATGGAACCAAGTATGAATACTATTTTTAAATACGAGTATGACGACAGGTATTATAAAACCTTACCTAAACCTATCCATTGTCACCTTTACCGACCATTTCATGTACTACCCATAATTATCATTGATATCATATTAGTGTGTGACACCTTTAAAAGGTTTCATAAGTGCGTAAATAAATTTTATTTATATATCTTAAAACTATCGTTAGGGATCGTGATTTTTTATTTTAGAGGGATGATAATAAAAAATATTTTTTAAATTACCTAAACCAAAATTTACTCATTTTATAAGGACTAAAAATATTTTATAAGGATCAAAATTTTTTACAAGGAATTAAATAAAAACTAGCTCATTTTACATGGATTATAAGCATATTTAAACCAATAATCAATCAAAATTAATGATTTGAAATGTAAAAATCACATTAAAAATAATGAAGTAGTAACTTATGAAGAAGTGTAGACGAATAGATAAGAAACTGAACACAGAGTATTTTATATTGGTTCATCTCAACACTAAGACTATGTCCAGTTCTTGATTCAATTAGATCAAGTTCCACTATCTTATGTAAAGATACAACTATTCTTTTAGCAAGCCACTTTTGGCTCAAACTTAAGTATCTTTTGACTTGCATCTTCAAGCAACTACTCAAGTATTGTTTCAACATAAAGCCTCTCTAGGCTTTAACAATCAAGTATTCTTTACAAACAAGTCTCTCTAGGTTCAAACCAATAAGTATTCTTTTATAGTCAAACATCTCCCAGCTTAAAACAACAAATAATTTTTTTACAGTTAAGTCTCTTCAAACTCAAAACAATAAACAAAGTTAAAGTTGGATAAGCTAACTATATTGTTTCATCTTACTATCAAAACATGATATAACTAATTTAGCATAGAGACTCCTTACATAAATAAAGAATATAATTTTTTACAACAATTGATTTCTCTATATTTTGTTTCGTTGTCATCTCTTACTTTCTGAGCTTCAAGCTTCCTTTTATTCAATGAAAATGATTGTTGCAAATCCTTGAGTATATCTCACAAGTTTGCTTTGTCTATCATCATCTTCATTCCTTGTGGAGAGAAGTATTCATTAGTGCATTAAATATTTTCACCAACTAGTCACTTCTTATCTGATTAAGGAAACTACTTATCACCTTTTAGGTACCGGAAAGGTGGAGCCATCCGTGTGTTAGTTCAAAATAGCTTCTTTTGAAGATTTTCATGATTCACAAGATTTTCTTGCCTTTTTGTCAATGTAGGTATTGAGGAAGTTGTTTTGCTTTAACTTGTTAAAGAATATTGTACACAAAGATTGATGTAGTTCTTAGATATCATAAATGATATTAATTCAGAGTAAATGTCTTGTAGATGAAGCATTTCGTCTATTAGACACTTATGTCAAGATAATAGATCATCTTAGTGTATTTGTCTTACAAAAAGGCATTTGTCTTATTGAATGGTTTCAAAAACTTTTCTCAAAATAAGTGTTTGTATTTGTTATCGTTAAAACATTATAGTTAAGGGATATAAGATCATCTTTTGACCTAACAATCTTTCCCTTTTTGATGGTGACAAACAACACATTTTGAAATGAGAGTGTTTAAACATAGATCTCAACATTTTTTCTTATAGACAAAAGATTGCGTTTTGGAAAACACACAGATGATATATTCCTTATTAAAATAATTGTTGCATTTTTGTCAAAGGTTTGTGTTATCAATATGTAAAAATGCAAGTTTAAATCATATTAAGAATTTAATCAGATGATTTTGATTTTATACAAATATTTTTGTCAAGAATTAATCATAGCATATGACTTTATAAAACTTTGTTAGAGACAGATTAAAATCATCAAGGATCATTCATATTTATGCATTTTTATTATATCATAGTAAGACAATGAGAGACTTAAGTAACTAATACTATAATATTATTAGATCATATTATAAAATTTATATTATTTATTTAAGAAAATATCTATACTAATATTATATTATTTATTTTTATATTTTTTCATCTAATAAATATAAATTTTTTTGTTCAATATGTTTTCATACAATAAATGTACAATATAAAATAAAATAACATATTAAACATATACTAATATAAGATTATTTATTTTTATATTATATATTAATATTTATTGTTTAAAAAAATATTAAAAATAAATAAATTTTATAATTAATTTTATAAATTATTTACTTATTTATTAAAAATTATTATTTATTAATTTTACCATGTCATTCACGTAAATCACCATGTCATTACCAAAATAACACGTCAACAATAATCCGACATGTCAATTAATGGTCAACTAATCGAAAGACTAAATTTATGTAATTTTAAAAACTTAGGAAACAAAATTACATAATTAAAAATAAAGAGATCAGTATTATGTAACTAAGATTAAATGATTAAATATTATTAAATATACTTTTAAAAAAAATATTTGATTAAATAAATATGGGTATGTAATTAAATTAATAAAAAATTCATTTTTACCAAATTTTTATAAGACTTTAATAAAAGAATAACTAATTTTCAAATATCTAAAATTTAAACACATGTTCAAACACATTAATAACTATAAATGTAATTGCTAGAAATCAGACAATAGAATTTCAAAAAAATTTAATTTACCCTCAACCAAAACCAAATTACCTACTCTTATAGTGTGTTTATATAGGGTAATTTTTTTTGGAGTAATTCATTTACTTAAAGAATTTTAAATACTCCATGATTAAATGATTTGTTTGGATAAATGATTTACAAGGAAATTTAAATTCTGTCATTTTTATGAAGTATTTCAATTAACTAGATTCATAGAATTTGAAATTTCAACAAAAAAGTGGGGAATTTGAAATTTCTCAACTCATGCTTCTTCATTCGCGAATGTGCATCCTCTCACACTCATGGCACACACCCTTTCACTCTCTCATGACGCTCCACTTGCTCTCTCTCTCATAACGCTCGCACTCGTGCTCGCTCTCTCATCACAATCTTCCAAAGCTCGCTTTCTTGGAATTCACTTTCTTTCTTGCTTGTGATCATTGCTTTCCCTCTTGCTCATGATCCTTGTTTTCTCTCTCTCACACGATATCCTTGTTCTCTCCCTCTAGTCAAGTTTGTTTTTCTTCTCTTTTGAATTAGGGTTCCATTTGATTTTTTTTATTGAATTTGTTATTGAATTTGTCATTGATTTGGGTTTATAAATGTTCTGTATATTAGTGTTATTGACCAATGACTGCAATAATGATTATCTATTCCTTACCTTATCAATTAAGCTTGAGATTAGAGTTATTTTCTTTGTCAGGTCAAATTTCAATCATTTAAACTATAGTGGATTCAATACTGCAATTCTATAAATAGTTGAAAAGATCATTTCTGTTGCATCTATCAAGTGGATTTCTACTTGAACTTTGTATTTTCTTAGTTATGTTTTCTAGAGCAGTCAATAATTAGCTTATATGCAAACTAAAGACTACATATAGAATTCCAT